GAACACACTGCAATCATGTCACATGTCATAGATGGGTATCTATCTAAGTGTGAATATAGATATATTCTTTAAATTATGACATTATGCATCAAACATAGATGATTTTGAGAAACCTTGGTGCATAAGGAAACATGAGATTTTGAGGAGCTGCAATGAGATCTTTAACTCACAAAAGGATTATGATTTTGATTCAATATTCATAAAACGATAGAGACGGATTCCCCAAAAAGTGTTAAGGTTTGAGCTTGGGAATAGGAATGGCAACGGGGCAGGGTGGGCTCGCACCACTAAGAAATTCCCCACCCCGTCCCCGACCCGTTACCCCTTTAAGGAGGAGCGGGGTCCTTGCCCCGTTTACTATACGTTTAATTTTTTTTTCTTTTTTTTAGCTTTTGATAAAAAATTTTATTGCCCATATTCATTAGATTTAGACAAATAATTTTAGTTGTTATTTTCTATTAGAACTAATGAAATTTTGTGAAATTTTTCATTTAAGTATTGAATTCTAAAAAAAAAAAAATTAAAAAAATTAAAAATAAATTTTAACGGGTGCCCCGTCCCCTCCCCGAGGCAAAATTCCCAGCTTCGAATACCCAATTAAGTGGGTTATCCCGTGGAGATCGGGTTTGTCTGATTTTTTTGCCATCCCTACTTGAGAAGGAAATAGGGAAAGATATTTTGTGCCTTAATGGGGATATGGGATGTGATTGAGGGAGCAATTTGTGGATGATTGGGGTTTAAGCTAATTATGTGGGATTTAATTAGATGATCGCGCAAGATCTGCAAGTTAAATGAGTGGGATTTGAGGAGTTAAGTGATTTCTTGTTTTTTAAATATACTTTTATATTGCAGTATGTATGAAAAAAAAATGTGTAGTGTAATTTTTGAAAATTTAATTTCAAAAATGTAACTGGTGCAATTTCCTCTTATGGAAATGTTTCAAGCATAAAAATAATTAGACTAAACAAATATTTTTTTTAGGCCCCAACTTTGGAGTCCCTAAGCCTTTGCCTTAGTGACTTTGGCTCAATCCTAGTTCTTTTAAGAATCTTATCTTTATTCAAACGATCAATTGAAAAGACGAGTGCATTAAGCTAAAACTATTTTAAAAAATAAAACCAAGTTGTTGGTTAAACATTGGAATAAAAAAAATTGATATGTTAAGATTTCACCGACTTCAATAGTCTATTTAATTCAATTTCACTTTTTAAATTTTGGCAAATATATAATCATTCAATATATGAGATTCTTCTAATTTACTTGATAGTATCTCTCGAGTAAAATTAAAACTACTTCATGATTAGAGTTTAGTATATCTTTACGAGTATTACAAATGTAACCAACTACATTAAATAAATAGAAAATCCTCACACGATCACACAACAATGGGAGTATAAATCGATCTCCTATCCAAATTTATGATTTTNNNNATCTCCTATCCAAATTTATGATTTTCGTAAACTTATAAATCTCCCATCGATCTCATTTAGTTCACAAATCATTCAAATGATGCTAAAGCATTTAAAGCCCATAAATTCAACGAAAACAAGAGCATGAAAAGTATACTTCAAAGCCAAAGTCAAAAAGTTAAACCATTAAAACTAGGTTATATCGTTCGACCTAACTATGAAATTTAGCCAAGCATATTTATTGAGTAGAAACACATAAAGTTTAAGATCAAAATCACTGGATTTATATAATAAAGCCCCCATTTGGACCCCATTATTTGAAATTTTAATGGTTGGAATATTTTTTTTTTTTAAATGTGTGGTTAAAAGAGAAAAAAAGTTTTGAGATTACATATAATATTATTTTATTGGAAAATGTGTGGTTGATAAGATTAGAAAGAAAAAATAAATTATAAATCTAAGGAAAAATTGCAGCCGCGGTCCCAAACCTTTTCGTTTTTTTGCATACTTTACCTCAACCTTTACTTTTTGCCACCACATGTCCCAAACCTTTGAGAAATTCGCAGATGCAGTCCAAAATGACGGAAATCGTTAGTTCCACTGTTCACGAAAATATGTTCATTTTGAAAATCACCGCAAGTACACGGTTCGTTAACAAGTAATAAAGTGAAAATTGTAAAATTTCGAGTATCGTCCCACGATGATTGATTTGATTTGTTTTCTATTATCAAAACTTTAACCGAATCTATTAAACTCAAAATGGTTGGAGATTTAAATTTTATAA